CCTGAATGGCGGGGGGCAGGGTGCCACCGCCTCAGCACACGACAGTTTCGGCGCTGCCAGCGCGGTTTCCTCGCGTGAGTACCACCAAAAGACATGACATCCGCTCATTATTTGTACCAGACAAGGTTCAAACATTTCTTTCATGCTATTTTTACCACAAGAATACAAATTATTATCCTCACGTCTTATGTGACGCTACACAAAATAATAATTCAATTCAATTATTAGAGTGCTTGGCAACAGCCAATAGAGGCCAATAACAGCCAATCACTAACAATAAACATAACAATACAAAAACAAACAAACAAGAAACTAAATATATAGATGTACAATATAATAATGATAATATATCAATTCATTAATTTGTTACAAAATAATCAACAAGCAAATGAGCTGAATAATATGCCTAAGTGTACAATAATTAAATTAAAAACAGTTAAATATAAATAAGACATACAAAATGAAACTTTAATTACAAAATAATAATAATAATAATAATAATCAGGAAGTCTGACGATGGATGCAGTAATTTCCTCGAAGTACTGATTCGCAGCCAAAGTGCTGCACACTGGGAAAACCCCAGGTCACCATCTGCAATTTAACTGGGAATGGCGTTGCTGACTTGTTACGCGTTCAGATAAATTGACTTCAAAGGACGTTCTTTGTCTGGTTGAGCCAGACTTTTGGAAATTCTAATTCAATCTCGTGTCGAGCTGGATCCGATAGTTCTGAATTTCATCAAAATAAGCCTCATGTCAGGAATAGCTAACTGATCTCTGGTGTTACCAACCATTAAATTCCTTGGAATTATCTCATAAATTTATTAACCATTCTCGTATGTGGTATTCTGGATTGTGAGGCTGTGTATAGTCTCGTAGGCTGTTATCAACGAGTTTTTCGCCTTCATCATCAGGGTAAAAACTTATAATGGATGAGAATAAACCTATAAGACTTCACGACGTCGTACGAAAATGACCAGTCTGAACTGTTCTGCATGTAACATAAAGGGGTGCATTTCAAATAAAATCTGCGTCTTATAGCTATTACATAGAGCACTTTACGTCAGAAGTATCTGTGGAGATCAGCGCCACAAACACCTTCGCCAAGTGTACCAAGATCTGTTCGCAAGAGTCTGGCACAAGGACTGCGTGCTAACCCTTTCTCCTGAGCCAACTGTTGGTTTTTGGATATCTTCCGTGTGCTACGCCACTGTCTCTCTCCCCTGGCCTGCTGAGCTTAGCTTTACTAAGCTGTATCTTGCAGTGTGCAGCTCTTCAACATAATGCCGGCAGATGATACTGATAAATGTTTAGTTGAATGCCAGATTGGCTCTTAATGGAAACAGCAGAATGCTTCAAAACTTTAATTTGCTTTACTTAAATACGAGGAACGACAGGCTAAGAAAAATCATCGCGTCCCAAATAAGGACTCTTGAACCAAACGTTGGGTATTAATGAATCTCGGTACTAATATTAAACAGATAGAAGCCACATCGTCGCTGTATTTTTAACTTCCCAACATCGTTAATTCTTAATGGCAGCCATACAGTCTTCAGAGATGAAACAATATTACAATATTATGGTTCCTGAGTCAAATCTCGGCCCAAATACTAACTATCCTGATTCAGTTCTTTTGAGGCTTTCTTCAGTCACTCCTGGTAAGTTCTGGGTACTTTAAATTAGGCCAAAACGTATTCTTTCACATCATATCCCGTTAATTATTCTTTTATAATCCCGTAATTCGACTGATACTCTCAGATATTAAGAAAAGAATACATTGGCGTTAAAATTCGTCAGTCCGATAAAAGAACGTGGCACATGTTGTTAAGGAACGACATTATCTATCAGATCCTCATGTTTTATTGCTTTTAATACAACGGCTGTCGTCAAGTTCTTCACAGGAACCTGTCAGCTCCTTCGTCCCGTGCGCGTACACTAGCTTGCCTGTCTATAAAACAATAGGAAGTAGTCTCATGCTATTACCGTAGATGAAAACAAGGCATACAATGGCCGCCCCGATACGCCCGCGCTGGGGAACTTGGAGCGTTCTATAAGACGCGTATAGCAAAACCACTCTCCGCTAACAACACCCCCAGCCCCGGTTCTAAACTGTGGGCGTAACTTAATGAGTTTTGTTTGTGCTCCAAGGAGACGAGACTCTCTTTACCGGGGCCCGCCCAGCATCGCCCGTTAATCGAGATCTGAGAACTTAGACGAGAGTAATTTCCATCTCTTTGCTGTTTTGAATGCCTTTCTACACCAGATATAGGAACAAATAGGGAAATTGTCATGTAATCTGTAGCTCTAATCTATTCGTGTTCGGCTCACCCAGTGTTGCTCCAAGGTTTGATTCAAGAGGTTACATTGTACCTTGGCGTTAGTTCTGTCAGTATTTGATAGAAGTCGACCTCCGTGGTTGTGTGGTCTCAGATAGCTGGAAGAATCGGATCGCAGGTTCAAATCCCGCTTCATGGGTGTTTGTTTGCATT